AGCGGAGGAAGAGAGCAGAGCAGCTTCGCAAGGAGCTGGAGGAGAAGGAGGTGGGGTTGTGTGCTCTGGTGCCAGAACAGCAGTGGTGGGACACACCAGGCTCTGTGCCTTGGCCTGGCTCACCTGGGTGAAATGTGGCAGGAGCTGATCACCTCAGAGGCCACAGTGCCATCACTTGGGGCTGAGCCTCTCCCTGCCCAAGCAGATGCTTGGTTTTGTTCAAGTAGTTTCTCTTCTTGTTCATACCACTGCAGATAGTTTCTTATGTTAATGTGTGGGTGTCTGTGCTAAATGTTGCACACAGCAAGAACGCTTGGACATCGAGGAGAAGTACACCAGCCTCCAGGAGGAAGCACAGGGGAAAACCAAGAAGCTGAAGAAAGTTTGGACCATGCTTATGGCTGCAAAATCAGAGGTTAGTGTCTGAAGTCCTTAGCCTGTGTTCATGTGAGGGACTATAGCTGGGAAGGGTAAGACATTGGCTTTGGAATACTGGAAAAAGTACCTTATGCCTAGAAAAGTCTTTCTGTGTGGTTCATGTAATTAAAAAAGACCTCATTAATTTTGATGTCAGAGCTGCAGAGGATCATGTTGGAGAGCTGCTCCCCAAGCCAGGCTGGGAGGGTGTATGTGTGAGTTGCTGAGATACTCAGAACTTCAAGGAAAAAAAACATTACTTCTGAAACAGAAGTGGTTTGCAGCAGCACAACTGCTCCTCTGCTCTTGGCTGTCTGTCCCTTCTGCCTTCCTTGTCCTTCCTCAGTCTCACACTGGCTCAGGGTGTCCTTTGGCTGGTATCTAGACTCCATGCTTCATGAAAAGTGCATTTTGTCTTTGGGATCAGAGATTTTCCTTGACCTCTTGCCAGGGATATAACTTGTCTGCACGCTCTTCGTCTGCTCTTAGCTGGTGCAGAGCTTGGATTGGCAGGAGGCCAGTTTCATCTTTATGAAGCAGAACTTCATGCTATTTTCAGCTGTCTCTGAGCTGGAACGTTTCAGAGGGTTTGTTCTTTCAGAGATAGATATCCTGGTACTTTCAGTCAATGCTTGCTTGCCTTTCCAAAAACCTTGTCTAGACTGTTCTTGTTTAAGCTGCCTTGAGCTAGCTCTGACACCTCTCAAATGCCTGCTTTGTCTGCAGATGGCAGATCTGCAGCAGGAGCATCAGAGGGAGATTGAAGGATTGCTGGAGAATATTCGACAGCTGAGCAGGGAGCTCCGTCTCCAGATGCTCATCATAGACAACTTCATTCCTCAGGACTACCAGGTAAACACCAAGGACCCAAGCCTGTGCTGTGGGTGTGTGCTGAGCCCTCCTGCTTTTATGCTGTCCAGCAAATGGGATGAGTTGCCTTCTCTTCAGGAGGTATCCCCAGGGAACTGACAGACACTTGTCTGCTCAGGTGGAGCCCACATGGGTGGGTGTGTGTTCCTGGGAGCCTTTGCTGTGGCTCAGCTGAGGGGGCAGCTGGGTTGCCCTCTAAGTTGGTGCCATTACCTGGGTTGTCAGAACCAAATGGTGTTCAAGGAAGAAAAGATGCTTTTGTCAAGTGACTCTTGTAACCTCTGGACTTCTACTGGATGTTCAGTTGGAAGGAGATCAGAGTCAGTGGGTGCATTTGGCTCCAAAGTCAGCACAGGGAGGTGAATAATAAGTGCAGCTTGGCTTTGTTGTGTTTCTCAGGGAGGTTGTTAACTTTGGCTCCAGTTCCAGGGCTGTGGAATCTGTTTCAGGGAAGCAGTGTGTACTGTGGGGGGGGGGGTTGTAAGCAGGGGACTAATCCCAGTTCTTGCAGCATATTCTCCTGATGGTTAAAAAAAAAAAAAGATCAAATTCA